AAGAACATGTAGACGGCTCAGAACAAGCAGAAGAGTTATGCAGACACCTGGAGGAGGGACTTGGAATTTGAGAAAGGGGATTGGGTGTTCCTTAAGGTCGCTCATTTCAAGAGAATCAGTAGGTTCGGTAAGAGGGGGAAACTGAACCCCCGATTTATTAGACCATTTGAAATCTTAGACAAAATTGGTATCGCTGCCTACAGACTAGCACTGTCTCCAGAACTTTCCAAGGTCCATAATATGTTTCATGTATCCATGCTACGCAAATACAACCCGGATCCCTCTCATGTCTTGGCCCACGATCCTCTTCCACTCCAGGAGGATCTGTACTACGAGGAAGTACTGGTCGGCATTGTGGATCGAAAGAGCAGATTACTTCGCAACCAAGAAATTTTCTTTGTAAAGGTCATGTGGCAGAACCGCACACTGAGGGAGGCTACGTGGGAGGTAGAATTAGACTTTAGAGTTCAATATCCCCAACTGTTTTATTGAGAGTGAAAGACAAATTTGAGGGATCAAATTTCTTTTAAGAATGGGAGAGTTGTAATACCCTAAAATAAATTATAAAAATTATATTTATAAATTTTAAATTACATACAATTTATTTTGAGGTGTTACATTATATTTGATATATTCGAAAATTATATTCTTTAATAAAATGAAATATATATTTTAGGTATTGAAAAAACTAAAAAGCTTTTGGTTGAGACATTTAGATTATGACTAAAAATTTATTGAAATTTTAATTTTATAAATCTTTATCAAAAATTTAAAACCGGGTAAATATTTTCAAATAATAAATTTATTATTTACTTCTTTTATTAATTAAAACATTACTAAATTCTATTAATTTTACTTTTTTAAAAAAATTTGAATAATAATATGATAAATGATATATTTCAACTTAAAATAAACAAAAAATCAGTGTAAAGATTGGTTTGATAAGGATTAAAATCATATTAAAATTGAATAAATAATATTAATAGATGAACGAGAAAAGAATCCCAAGGGTGACGTGGATTAGTTCGGGCCCCACAAGAGGCTTAATAGGATAGGTATCAATCCAACGACCAAAATCTAAAGTAAAAAAAAAAACTTCAAAGAGGAGAAAATGCATCGAATTACGTACCTGCAGCTTGAACTTTGGATTTTAAAAAGTAGTTAAAAATATTTATTATACGGAAAACGTCAAATGTTATTTTCATTATCTTTAATTATAATTATAAAATAAATTTAAATATTATTCACTCAATTTAAATTTTAAAAA